GCCCCCCCACCCCCTGGATGCCTGGGTCCACCCCAACTGCTGGGGGAGGGGAGGGCCTGGACACCTGGGTTCCCCCTGCTGAGCATCACCAAACTCCCACAATCCTCTGCCCCCACCAGTTTAAAGCAGCTGTTAATTACTTGGGAGGGGTGCCATTAGAGGTCCCCTCCCAGGCCAACACCTCCAGGGGGTACCTCCGTGGGGCTGAGCTGTGGGCTAATCCCCCACAGCTGCTGGACTTGGGGGAGGGAGGATAATCCTGCTGCTCAGATGCAGCCAGGGGATCCAGGCATCTGGGCCGACCCTCCCCATGGGGCTGAGGGGACACTGGGGAGGTCTAAAGGGACCCAGGGGGGCCTGAGGGGACACTGGGGAGAGCTATGGGGACATTTGGGGGTGCTTTGGGGGCACTGAGGTGACATTGGGGGGGGTTAAGGGGACATATGGGGCTTGAGGGGGTCTAAGGGGACATTTGGGGGTGGCTGAAGGGACCCAGAGGGGGTTTAAGGGAACATGGGGGGTTTGAGGGGACATGAGGGGCTTGAGTGGACATTGGTGGGGACTGAGGGGACATTGAGGGGGTCTAAGGTGACATTTTTAGGGGCTGAGGTGACATTTTGGGGGTGGCTGAGGGGACCTGAGGGGACATTGGTGTGGGTACCCGGGGGACTGAGGGGACCCCGGGGGGGTGTTAAAGGGACACTGGAGGGCTGAGGGGATATTGGCAGCCTGAGGGGTCATTGGAGTGCTGAGGAGGACCCGAAATGCCTGAAGGGACCTGAGGGGACATTGGTGGGGCTGTGGGTGGCGGGGGGATTGGGGACATTTCGGGGAGGCTGGGGGGACACGAAGGGCTTAGGGGGTATTCGGTGGGACATCTGGAGGCGCTGAAGGGACATTTCTGGCTGTGGGTGCATTGGGGAGCCTGAGGGGACATCGGGGATGACCTTGGGTGAGGCTACGGGAAGGCACAGGGGATACAGAAGGACCCGGGGATGAACCA